AAAAAAAAAAAAAGGTAAAAGAATCCACAGAACTCAAGGATGAAGATTATGGTACATAATAAATGGTCATAATGAGGGCATGAAGTACTGTGCTTTGGGGTACTTTCTGTTTATTTTGACCTTTTAACCTCTTTCACATGTTCTCGCTTTCACCTTGTTTCCTGTAATCATACTCATACCCCCACTCTCTCCTGCTTTTTTTTTTTTAGTCAGTGTTTGACTGCAAAGAAAACACTAACAGTACTAGTAATAGTACTAAGGAAAAGAGATTCACTCAGGAAATGGAATTGAACTAAATTTACATGAACGAAGATAAAAGAATAAAGAGGAGACCCACAAACGGTTTTTAGTTTTAAGTGTTATAGTATGTGTGTGTATATATATATATATATATATATGTATATTCTGTGTAAGTTTCAGATTATATGTCACTTTCCCATTTAGAAACGTTTCCAATAATATATAATAATAATAGAAAAATAGAAAAAAAAAGTGAAGAAACAGCAAAGAAAGCTTCCAATTGTTCTGTAAGCTGCTTCTGTTTCACTGTTAATGTGAGGCATGTCTTTCCTTATTACCAACCACTGACAACTCCACATCTTCTTCTTATTACCCAAAACCCCAAAACCAAACCCATTTCTCAAGAACCCAGACACATGGAAACCATACACCAATCCTTTCTTTTTGACAATGCAGCACCCCACTTTCTAGCCTCTCAGTGTGCTTCCCTGTGGGTTTTTCGCCTTTCTTCTTTATAAACACCCATAGTCTTAAAGTTTGCTCTCTTTGCTCTTTTTCCTCTCACCAGCACTGTCTCTACAAGGTTTGTTTTGATTCATTTGCTCTTCGTTGTGCTTATTGGCATCTAATGCTCAAAGTTTTGATTTTTTGATTGATCTCGTCAAATGATGCCTGAAATTCGTGTGTTTATTTTTTCGTTGGAAATATGATATCTGGTTCGGCCTGAATCTTTAATTATATGTGATGATTTGTCAAATGTAGGGTGTGTGTTGGAAATGTGATGCCTATTTCTATTTGATTTTGATATTTGTTTATTATTTGAAAACGTTTTGGTAATCGGTGGACTTTGATTTTAAGAAAACTCTTTGCTTTCCTTTTAGCTTCTCTCTGTGGTTGAGGGGCCTTTGGGTTCTTTTCTGGAAACTTGATTGTGGTTGAAGGTCTGCCTTTCTTATCACTCTGTTGCTCCTTATCTTTCTGAATTTTCTTTCCTAACTTTTTTTCCCTGAAACTTATTAGCCACTTTTTCTCTTTATATGCACATATATTCAGTTTAATATCTTATTCGATTAGATTGGAAAATTTTCCTTCATAAATCAATTAAATTTTTGAATAAATGCAAAACATGTAGCAGTTTTTAATTATTAGCTGCAGGATGTGGTTTAAGTTGTTTTAGTTAAACATTTTTCAGGCATCTTGGTGCTGGTGAAAATGGCGTCTGATCTGAACAAATCTCTGTCAAAAACATACATTGGTCTGCAGTTGTGGGTACTTATTGTAATTGGCTTAGGAGTGGTTTTTTTGGTTATCCTTGGCATATCTCTGTGGCTTAGTTTTCGGAAGAAATCCAAAAGGGCTAATGACATCCTTCCTGTAAGGCAAGCGCCTTATGTTTCAGAGGAAATTAAAGAGATAAGAGTTGATCAAGTTTCAGCAAACAATGGTGGTCTGAACACCCTTAATGATAAATTCAGTGACAGAGATTCAGAGAAGGTTGTATTTAGTGTAGATAATGGAGATGATAGTGGCCAGTCAGGTTCCTTTAATCATGTGGAGAAAGATGTTAAAGGATCTCAACCAGGAGAAGAGGGAGGCAACGGGACAGTTTCCACATACAGGCCTTCTTCACATCCTTTGACTGCTCCTTCACCTTTGTCTGGCCTGCCTGAATTTTCACACCTGGGCTGGGGTCATTGGTTTACTCTGAGAGACCTACAGCTTTCAACTAACCGGTTTTCAAAGGATAATATTATTGGTGATGGTGGATATGGAGTTGTTTATAGAGGCAATCTGATTAATGGGACCCCTGTAGCTGTTAAAAAGCTCCTTAACAATCCGTATGTTGCCGAGAAGCTTATTTTTGTGGAAGATTAATTCTGTTGTTTCTGTTATGCTGTCCATAGCTTGTACGGTTAATTGATAATGATTCTATGTTTTGTTTTTCCTTTCTAGGGGACAAGTAGACAAGGATTTCAGGGTGGAAGTTGAAGCCATTGGTCATGTGCGGCATAAAAACTTAGTTCGACTTCTTGGTTACTGCATTGAGGGAACACAAAGGTACCATGTTTATCTACTCCCTATGATTTGGCAAGTTGAGCAGGCTGCTTGTGGCCTTGTATCCCTTTATGAGAGTTAAAGTTAATGAATTTTTACCTCTATGTGTCAGTGTTCTTGTAATCTGTGGCATAGAAAGGAAAGACAGATTACTGATATTTTGTAAATTTTCCGCTACATAATCCAGGTTGTTGGTTTATGAATATGTCAATAATGGCAATTTGGAGCAATGGCTCCGTGGAGATATGTGTCACAAGGGATATCTTACTTGGGAGGCTCGAATAAAGATTCTTCTTGGCACCGCCAAGGCGTAAGTCTTCCTTTAACTAAATCCTGGTTGTTAGTGCTTACCTTGGGTTTAATCTCATTTGCTACTCAAAACTAAATGCTGCAGGCTGGCTTATTTGCATGAGGCTATTGAACCAAAAGTTGTGCATAGAGACATAAAATCAAGTAATATATTGATTGATGACAACTTTGATGCTAAGATATCTGATTTTGGTCTGGCCAAATTGCTAGGTGACGGGAAAAGTTATATCACAACCAGAGTTATGGGTACCTTTGGGTGAGAATAATGCCCTTGCTCGACATTCAACTACCTTGACTTTTTCCAATTTCACTAGTCCATTCATTCTCCTTTTCAGTTTTAGGTTTTTTTTTTTTGTTTTAATTTATGCACTACCTTTTGTTTTTTGTATCATTAAAGAAGTTAAAAATATCATTAGTTAATGTAGTCTTTCCTCCTGCTTGCATGATTTCCAAGTTATGTTGCTCCAGAATATGCCAACTCTGGCCTTCTGAATGAGAAGAGTGATGTTTATAGCTTTGGTGTTGTGCTCTTAGAAGCAATTACTGGAAGATACCCAGTAGATTATGGTCGCCCTCAGCCTGAGGTAAGGAAGAACACTTCTTTATTAGCATAGGTTGACATTTTAAAAAGGCTTTTATGTGCTGTGCTTCTTCTGAGAGTTATTTGTTGTTATGAGATGTTTTTATCATTCATGTACTTTTACCTGACAGATGTTTGCTTTGAAGTTTGTAATTCCTGTGTACCAGAATCACATATGCATAAAAATACCCTAAAGCTCTTTGCAGCCTTGATTATTTCCTGATGCCAATTTTATATCTAATGCTTTTGTTTATTCATTCTTCCTACCCAACAATTAAGGACATGAGACACTTGATATAAAGTGTTTTTGACATGACCACGTTTTATGGTGAACTCAGGTAAATATGGTTGAATGGCTAAAGATGATGGTTCAACTCAGACGCTCAGAGGAAGTAGTTGACCCAAACATTGAGACTAGACCATCAACTAGTGCTCTGAAACGGGCTCTTTTAACTGCTTTGAGATGTGTTGATCCTGATGCTGATAAAAGACCAAAGATGAGTCAGGTTGTTCGCATGCTTGAATCAGAGGAGTATCCTATTCCTCGAGAGGTTTGATTCTGATACTTTCCAGTAATCACATTACTTTGCATTATTACCTCAACTGTATATCAAAGGAAACTTGAGGAAGTTGCACTGTTTTTCTTATGAAATAATGGTCGTACTCAATGCCAGAAGTACAGGCTAGAGCCTAGAGGATAGCAACTTCTTGCTTTAGATAAATTGCCCAGTTTACTGTTGTAACTCTAGCTTGACTCTTAAAATATATCCTGGATGAAATTTTCAGGATAGAAGACGCAGAAGGAATCAGGCAGTGAATTCAGATGCTGATCCTCTGAGGAAAAACTCTGATGCTGATAGGAGTGATGATCCAGATTTAAGGTTGGACGGTAGAATGCCTCATCACCAGTAAACTTGGGGGCAAAATGGTTTTAGAAGTGGAGAACAAGGGCAACCAACATCCGTACATCTGTTAATATTCTGATGCCTTCAAATGGCCTATAGTTGAGATTGAAGACGCGGAGCAGATGCAGGCAACTGATGGAATTTCTTCCTTTTGAGCTTTGAATTACATATCTATTTCTAGATTGTAGAGAAGATTAGTTCGTGTCCGGAATTGGCATTGTCATGAGGCAACATTGCCACTGGATTTTCTGTACAGTTTTTTTTTTTTCCCATTACATGGTCTAGGACTTATAGTTCAATTTTATGAATTTTTGCTGCTGGGATGGAGAAAATGAAAAGAAAAACAGTACGAAATCTGACGAGAGTACAGGGACGGCAAGTACCACTTTAAACTTGTGTCCGTTGGATACTTGTGTAAGCAATGTTGAAAAACAAAGCTGCAGGCTGGGGTTGTGATTTAGTATTTGGAAGAATATTTCTGCTGAAGTAGTAATAATTCAAGCTGAAAATTATGACCTTGGCACCGCTCCGGTGGGTCCATGTGCTGAGCTGGTTGGCGTCTCCCATGTGCATATGATGGGTCAAAAGTCTGTTTTCGGGTGGCAGATTGTACTATTATTTCTGGTCCTAAGTTGTTCTTAATGGTGGATGTCTATCCGTTGACTTGAACAGTGGCAGTCGCCGGCCAATTAACAACTCCACTTCACATTGGACCCAGACATAACTGGTTTCTCTTATTTTTCAATTTTGTCTTGTTTGGTGAAATAGAAGGAAGAGTAGCTTAACGGGGAGGTAATCGAGATTTGCATGT